CTGTGAATGCTCTCCCCCCACAAACCTGCTAGCCGCAGGCAGCTCCAAAGGTTTGACGATATGCAATCTTCATGTATATACGGAACCCTTGTAACCAAACCCCCTAATAAAATGAGGGATTACTGCATGCTGAAAAGTAGTGGCCGTAAATGTTTGCAAGAATAATAATGTATCCTTCCAAATAGTGGGTCAATGGTAAACAATGTATGCATCCGTCATTTGGGAAGAGGGAGATTATTGGGGGTTTTTTGTTTTCATTATGTATTTTTTGTTTTTATATTGTGATTTTATCTTGTGGACTGCCCTGAGACCTGTGGGTATAGGGCTGTACACAAAACAAACAAACAAATACTTTTTAAAATGATTTTTTTAAAAACCTCAATTCATAGTCATCCAACCTTTAACAAATAAAAGCTCTTTAGGTGGCCCTGGGTAAGGCCCTATTTTTCAATGTTATTTAGCTGACAGAACTGTCAGATCCAAACATTTTTTAAAAGAATACTAATAAATATCTGATTAAAAGTGGATCAGCAGAACAAATTTAGTATCAGTGGCAAAAATTCAAAAGTTTCTGCAATCAACAGGTAAGTTTAAAAGATGACTGATTTGTCTACAACTGAAATTACTACATTCACAGGATAGAGAAGGTCAGCCTGTACTAATCTGTCATAGTCCATTTTACACAAGTACAACAGTTGCAGATCCACTCTGAATTGATAATCTGAATCACCTTGAAAATAATCCACTTCTGGTTCAATATATTATCTTCTTGAGTTACTTCTTCCTTGTGAAGCTGGGTTTTTTTGCAAGTCATTTGAAGTCAAGGACGACTTCAAATGAATCTAATAATATTAGTTATCTGAGAAATCACAATACCATGTATAAAACTGAACTGCTATTTTATGTAAGAAATCATTGGTTCAACTCAGCTATAATTTTCCAATTATGTCTATCAAATGGCTCTGGATGGGATGAACATTTCCATCCATAACAAGAGATACACACAGCTATTTTAGCTGAGCCCAAATCAATATTGCGATATGCATGGCTCATTTGCATTAGCTACACAAGCTTAAGTCAAAGTCCATATATGGAGCTGCACTGGTGGGTTGAAACAGCCCCATTCTGAACCATTTATATTTTATCGAGATAGAAACTTCAAAGCAAAATCATACTAAGAAACTGAACTGCATATAATACATCAGTCGGTACTCTCACAGGCTCCACTACTGAAAGTACTGAATATCTGTAAACAAATTTATATTGACCAAAAATATTTAGATTTGTTTTTCTAACCTAAGACAGCTGTACAGTATTCAAAAACGAGCTGTTGTTTTTAATACAGAGAGTATGCATGACAACTGGCTCAGTTTGACCCAGTCTTTCAGTAACATTTCCTCTATTATGAAGTAATGCCATATAGCTTTATATTTTAAGTTATGAATTTAAAGCAGCCTGCAACACTTGATAACTGGGTAAGCAATCCTTATCCCATTTACCTAGGAGTAAGTCCTGTTGAATTCAGAAGAGTTTACTTCCAAGTACAGTGGTGCCCCGCAAGACAAATGCCTCGCAAGACGAAAAACTCGCTAGACGAAAGAGTTTTCCGTTTTTTGAGTCGTTCCGCAAGACGAATTTCCCTATGGGCTTGCTTCGCAAGACGAAACGTCTTGCGAGTTCTTGCGAGTTTGTTTCCTTTTTCTTAAAGCTGCTAAGCCACTAAGCCACTAAGCCATTAATAGCCGCTAAGCCGCTAATAGCCGTGCTTCATAAGACGAAAAAACCGCAAGACGAAGAGACTCGCTGAATGGATTAATTTCGTCTTGCGAGGCACCACTGTAGATATGGTTAGGATTATGTGCAGGGCAGTTTAATTTGTCAGTTTAAAGCAAGAAAGCTACAGTTGCAACTGCTCTTTTTAAGGACTTTAGCACTTATACAATATCATCACACGTGCACTATTCTGTTCTCACCTACTGTTCCTTGCTACAAAACTATATTAAAATTTAAATGATACTGTATTAAGAACCTGGAAAAAATAGATCTACATTTTTGATAGCGCTAGGGACTCTCCTTCACTGGATGTTTTTAAGCAGAAGTTGGATGGCCATCCATCTGTCATGACTGCTTCCGTTGAGATTACTGCATTGCAAGGGGTTGGACTAGATGACCCTTTCAATTCTACAATTCTATGATACTATGACTCTAAGTTACTGGTTTGCGCTACCCTTTCTGTTCATGACTGAGAAAAAGCATTCCCTTTACATCTATTGGTTCTTTTCTTGCAAGAGATTGGTGTGAGGATATGCAGGAAGGCTGCAAAAAAATATTTGTAGGCTGGTGACAAGTTGGAGGTTTAATTGCAAAGCTTCATATTCAGTGACATATTTCTCACTGGAGGAAAAAAAAGAAACCCAACCAAGTACACCTGTCCAAGTACACCTGTGTGAAGTTTAAACTTCTAGTAAGAAGTACCAGCTACAGGCCTACAAGTATTTTGTACCTAGTATATTTCGCTGATTATCTTCAGTGCAGCAGTTATGTAAGAACATGCCCAATAGACAAATGGTTGCCAACCGATCAATAGCAGCCTTGGACTCTGTTAACTAATGTGAAGACGTATTATGTGGCTCTTCAAACACACGGCACAACTCCATAGTATTTGGACAAAACACTTATTGTGTGCTGACTTCTGCAGTTAAGACAGCTTTCCATGTTATCTAGAAGCCCATTTCAAATATGGAGTGAAAAGGGCCCTTGATTTAATCTCAAAATGGCATTTGTTGTGAAACAGTTTTATACCAAGATTATTTCAGGAACAACAATCAACCCAAATCAGTGCTACAGAACTTCAAGTTCTGTTCACACAAATGAGCTTGGCAGGAAACAATAGCATCAGTATGCTGAATGGAAGATGAGTAAATAGCCATGCTTATCAGCATAATTTAACATCACCCAAGTAATTTTAAATCAAATGGATATGACAAGGGTAGAAGCAAAGTATTTCTGGAGAAGTGCAGTACAATCATATGCTTGCATAGTAAAAAAATCCTACTGGATTCAGTGAGGCTTACTGCTAAAAAGTGTGTACAGTACAGGATTGCAAACTTAGGAACAAACTACATGGCATCAATTATTAGGTCTCCAAATGCTATTTTTAAAGGAAATGCTGCTGCAGAGAGTGTCAATTTGTTTGGAGCAATGGTGCCTGGGGAAGAGGAGTTTGACCCTTATTCTCAAACCACTTTCACAACCCAAATTCACCCCTTCCCCAGTTGCAATTTGGCTTTTTGTAAAGAGTAAAATACAGATACCTATTAGAATTTTAAAAAGGAACAATGAAGCATTCTGGTGTTTTCTGGAATCCTTAGAAGGGTGAAAACTGATCCATGCAGCCCACTTAGCATTTCTGAAGCCCTAGTGATAATAGAACCAATTAACACAAAATCCGCTAGAAGATCAGTGTGAAGAAAGCACTTGCCAATTTAGAATATAATTCCCATATGACTATTTCCAATTAACATTGGTCATCTTGATTATGCAGGTTCAGATTTCTATTAACTGTTTTCCTTCAGAAGATCCAGAAAAAGGATAGCTGCTAAGTTCAGATATTTGATTTCATAACATGCATATATATATATATTGCTTGCTTGATTTTTTTTAACCATTCCAAAGTGGTTTGAGATAATAGAATTCAAGGGCTTGAGCTAAGAGCTCACAATTACTATTGTATCAGTGTTGTTTAAAAAGCATCAACCAGACTTCTATATTTTAAAAATTCCTCTGAGCATTTTTTCAACAAGTTCAATCACAGCCTGATCTTAATCAATATGCCCTCAAGTGTTCAGTACCTGCTTGGAAAAGAAAAAATTGAACTTTAATCTCTTCATTACTAGGAGAAGCAAGCAATACCAAATAACAGTAAACTGGACTGCTCTGGGATTGTACACAAGAGTTTATCATTTACTGGGGTATATAAAACACTGCCGTTAGAGCTGCAACATTTGGGTTTAGGCAAAGCACAACAATTTACGAAAATGTTTTACGGTGAACCTGCTGCACAACCAAGGTCCCATAGTCTGAAACAAGTTCATCCAGCACCTTGCAGAGAACCTCTGAAACAAACCTACACCTCAAGAGTCACCCTTGTCAGCTAATCAATAAAATGCAAAAAACAACAACCAAAAAACAGGAAACAAGAAACAGTTGCAATCTCCCACACAAGCCGGAAACACAATTGTTACTTTGTCAATATATTTACCTTCATGTTTCCATCGAAACCGCTCTTGGGTTGATGGTTACAAAGACCTTAGTGGCAGCAACAGCAGCAACCCTGGGGTTAGAGGACTGAGAGGTAAAGGGCGGAGAGAGATCCCTATATTCCAGGCAGCTGCTTTGTTTCCCCTGCCCGCAAACACAGCAACATCGATGAAGGGAGGAAATGATGTAGCACTAGCGAGGGGGGGAAAAAGGAAAGAGAAAGAAATAGAAGATACAGCAGCACCAAACAGATGGAAAGCCACACCACTTTCCCTTTCTCTCACTGCCCACCCCCCAGATGCAGCCCCCTCTCCAGTGGGAAAACATTTGCAACCCCAACAAAACAGGAAAGGGCGAGATTTTGGCCAAGGGGCACCAGTGGCAAGGGGATCTTTGCCTGCAAAAACATAAAATAAAAAGCCAGAAGAGAGAACCGTCACCGCCCCCCTCCCCCCCCAACTTGACACCTGTCAGCTCTTTTCTCCAACATCCCCCCCCCCGCCTCGGCGTCCCCGGCGCCTGTTGCTATGGAGCACACCGGATCACGCACACCTGGGGGGGGGAGAGAGGAGAGAAATAAATGGGGGGGAGAGAGAGAGGGAAGAAGAGGAAGACGAGAGAGGAGTTGAACAGGGAAGGAGGTGGCAGTGCACCGCAGGAACCCCTCGAGGACAAGGCGGGCGGGCACAATATATATACAGACATACATGTGTGTGTGTGCGCGCACATACATACACCTCATACACACACACACACACACACATATATATATACACATGCATACATATGTGTGTGCGCGCGCGCACATACATACACCTCTCACACACATATATACACGCATACACACGTGTCTAATGTACACACACACACACACACACACACACACCCCGTGAGGGGGGGCGCAACACGGTATGCCCCCAGCTCCCTTCCCCCCGGCTTCCAAGGGTCGCCCCACACTCGCCTGCCCGCGGCCATTTCTCGCGCGCCCCACTACCACCGTGCCTCAGAGCTGAGGTGATATTTTATTATTATTATTATTATTAGTGCCTCGCCTCGCCCGGCGCGCCCCCCTTACCGAGCGAGAAGCCCCCTCAGTGCGAGCCGCTCGAGGGCGCCTCCTCCCCGCTCCCTCCGCAGCGCTCGGTCCGTGGCTCGACTCCCTCGGAGCGGCCAAGGCGGCCCAGGCGCATCCTCTCTCCGTCGTCCCGCCGCGCGCTCCACCTCAGCGCCCTCATTCACTTCCGCTGCCAGCGGCGGGCCCGGAGCGGAAGGAGGGAGGGAGGGAGACACCCCTCCCGCCCGGAGAGCGCGAGGGACCGCGCATGCGCAGCCCCGCGGCGGCGGCGGCGGCGGCGGAGCCTGCTCGATCTCGGTTTCGGAACTCCGCCCGCCGCCACTCGCGGAGGGAGGCCCGCCTCGGTTTGGCGTCCAGGGCGGCGGCCCCGCTCTCCAGCAACGCAACAAAGGCTGCAGACGCGCGGGGAGGGAGGGAGGGAGCCCCGCTCGGTCCCGAACAAGGGGGCGCGCGTGGGATTGGGCCGCCAGAGATGCTGCGAAAACCGCGGTGGCCACCCATCCCACCACCACGGTCGTCTTGCACTCGCCGCAGGTGGCTTGCACAAAATGCTCTCTTCTTCTTGCAAAGAATCCTTGTCTAGAATAAGTGACAGGGGAACCAGGCAGAGGGCCTTCTCGGTGGTGGCGCCAGCCCAGTGGAACGCCCTCCCACCAGATGTCAAAGAGAACAACAGCTACCAAACTTTTAGAAGACATCTGAAGGCAGCCCTGTTTAGGGAAGCTTTTAATGTTTGATGCATTACTGTATTTTATTATTTGGTTGGAAGCCGCCCAGAGTGGCTGGGGAAGCCCAGCCAGATGGGCGGGGTATAAATAATAAATTATTATTATTTATTATTATTATCTATTGAAGTTTTTTAAGTAGGAAGCTTATGCCCAGTCTGTCCATTGGCCCTTCTAGTTCAGTATTTCTTGTGAACCGCCCTGAGACCTCTGGAGACAGGGCAGTATATAAATTCAATAAATAAATAATTATAATATTGTCTGCACTGGCTGGCAGCGGCTCTCCGGGGATTCAGGCAGGGCTCTGACTCGATGCCAATGAATGCACCTTGCACCTTCTGTGCGCAGAGCAGATGCTCTAACTGCAGTGATTTCCAGGAGGGCAATAACACAATTTTCAGTTGTCACAACTCTCTTGAATGCCTGAAGAGCAATTTCACAGCCGGTCTTGGGAAGAAGTATCTTCATTGGGCAAGTCTAACCTGCTGGTGCACTGAGCAGGTCCCCTGGTTGTGTTCCTCAACCTCGCATGGCCATCCAGTATACCCTTATGCCGTTGACATAATTAATTCCCCTGTGGCTGATCAGACCCAAATGGTCCTTTCAGCCCAGTAACTCCCAGGAGTGACCAGCCAGAGACACCCTGCATGCCTTGCAGGTCTACTTTTACACTGAAACGGGCTTTTAATTCTCCATGCACACTTCTGTGGGTTCTCCCGCCCCTCCCATGTACTAGACTTGCACCCACTATTAGCCCAGCCCCTAGTAACATGGCTTCTTACCCACCTCTTCCCAGCACACCAAGACTATGGTGCCTATTTTAATTACATCTATGTATTGCAAAATTGATGGGTGAAATTAAAATCCATGTATTGCAAAATTTGGTGCTGGAGGAGACTTTTGAGAGTCCCATGGACTGCAAGAAGATCAAACCTATCCATTCTGAAGGAAATCAGCCCTGAGTGCTCACTGGAAGGACAGATCGTGAAGCTGAGGCTCCAATACTTTGGCCACCTCATGAGAAGAGAAGACTCCCTGGAAAAGACCCTGATGCTGGGAAAGATGGAGGGCACAAGGAGAAGGGGACGACAAAAGACAAGATGGTTGGACAGTGTTCTCGAAACTACCAGCATGAGTTTGACCAAACTGTGGGAGGCAGTGGAAGACAGAAGTGCCTGGCGTGCTCTGGTCCATGAGGTCACGAAGAGTCGGACACCACTAAGTGACAACAAATTGCAAAATTACACTCAGGATGTCACAGTTAGAAAAATCACGAATTCCCCTTCTTGTATTGGATATAAGTTTTTAAAGGCTTAAGTCTTTACATGGTAGCTGACTAGAGCCATGCAGAAACCCCATCAATTAAGTTGCTTCAGAGACAAGGCAGATTGCAACAGATAGTGTTGCTGCGGTGCCTGTAATACAGCCATAACCAGTAATTCGGAGTACATGCGGCCATTTGTTTAGCCTGAAATTATTGCAGGACTCCTAAGTGAAACATGTAATTAACTCACTGTTGATGTGGTTAGCAGTCTTAAGGCTAGGATTGAACAGTATCCATGTAATTGCGCATGAACACAACTGCTGTGCCTAACAATACTCATGGCAAAGTAAGTACGACTAATTTCAGGTACCACAAAAGTTTATTTTCTTGTCGTTGCAGAATCAGGGCAACTTGACACATCCACAAAGAGAAGCAAATATGCAAGATCCCTGTGTTCTGCTGCATGGAACCAAATAGGATTTGTGCATCCACTTCTCAACATTTGTGTTATAGTCATTTGGGGACACGGGTGGTGCTGTGGGTTAAACCACAGAGCCTAGGACTTGCCGATCAGAAGGTCGGCGGTTCGAATCCCCGCGACGGGGTGAGCTCCCATTGCTCAGTCCCTGCTCCTGCCAACCTAGCAGTTCAAAAGCACGTCAAAGTGCAAGTAGATAAATAGGTACCGCTCTGGCAGGAAGGTAAACGGGGTTTCCGTGCGCTGCTCTGGTTTGCCAGAAGCGGCTTAGTCATGCTGGCCACAAGTCTGAAATTTGTCCTGCTCAAGTGGCGTTTGCAGTTGGAAACTCAACACCACCTAATGCACTGACCGCAGTATGTAATGCAGTATTCACTTTCAAGTTCTGATGTATCACAAGGATTTCCATTTGACCAACAGAACATCCCCCCTCCTCTCTGTGCAGCCTTCCCAAATCTGCTCTGGAGGGTTCCGAGGAGATGGCGTGGGGATCCAGAACAGATTTAGGGGGCATTTGAGGCAGGTACAGGGAGAGGAAAGTCTGTTGGTCAGCCAAAAGTCCTTGCAGTGATGGAATGCGTGCATTGAATGCTACACTCTAATCTGGACCCACACTTCACCATGGGCTGAGCACCCAATTGAATTGAGTCACCCAACATTTCACCATGCTAACAAAGTTGTAAGGATTGGTCTAGAGAAATCTCGACACTTAGTTATTGAGAAAAGTTACATATACCTTTCAGGTTACATTGGCACTTGTGTTTTGCAGGTGTTAAAAAGAATTCACAGCAGCCTCCCGTTAATCTTATGTTAACTATATTACAAATTTAAAGTATTTTTGAAGTGCTTTACTTCACTTTCCATTCTTGTTCTTCCAAAAGAATAATTAAAATAAGAAGTGAGGTGATGAAGTTCTAATTGGCATATGAAAGAGCCAACAGTAAAACTTTAAGCCTCTTTGTAGCTGCTAGTTTCAAAGAAGATCTGCAAGGGTTGTGCAAACACCAGTGGGAATTTAAGAATCCTTTTAATAAGAAAGAAAGGTAGTTAACATTTACCCCCCAAAAAAGAAAAGAAAATCCTAATCCAAAACATTTGCAGTATTTGTACATGTATGTCAGCAGAGCCTGAAGAAATTTTGAGCTGAGCCTTCAATTTCATTGCAACTATTTTAGCGAAAAGAATGTAATTAAATCAGGAAAATAGAGGTTTGCATCTGGTTTTTACTAAAATGTATACAAAGTTTTGAGAGCCATTATGAATTAATACTCCTTTTTTCTCTTCTGTTTGCTTCTCTACTGAAGGCAGACACATCCCATGGGGCTAACTTTGCTTGTAGGTATGGCCAGTGGCGTAGCGTGGGTTGTCAGCACCCGGGGCAAGGCAAGTAATTTGCGCCCCCTAACCCGGTAGGGGCAGAGACCCTCTAACCAGGATGTTAGAAAAGGTGCATTGCTTGAACCAGCCCCAAAAAGGAATGCAACCCCCCCCCCAATCGCTAGAGATGTCCTCACTTAGAAAGATATTAAATTTTCCATGTTTACTTTGAACATGTGGTGGGTCTCTTTATTACTGCAATTCTATGCATGCCTACTCAGAAGTTCAATTGAGTTCAATGGGGACTATTTCCAGGGAAGTGGGTGCATAATTGCAGCCTAAATAAAATAGCTTTCTTGGTCTTAATACATTAATGGCTTCATTGATTCCTTGCTTTAAAATACAGCACTAAGAATTTTGCTCAGAAGTCGGTACAGGCCTGGAGGATGAATGGAATGCACTCCCAAAGTGGTGGTTAACAGCCACACTTTCACACCATCTGAAGCTAAATGTCACCAAGGCACTTCACACAGTATATTATAAATGGCCTTGAAGGTTAGAAATGCAGCATGAACAGACAAATATGCAGACTGTTATTTATGCAAGAACTGGTTTCCACAAAACAGGAGATAAAATACAGCTGTGATATTTGTACATGCATTTTATGCAATTTTCTGAAAGGGAGCAGCGTTTTACAGAAAGGAATAAAGAGATGTCTGTTTATCCCTGTTGGGTTTCAGAAATTGAAATGCTTACTTACCAGACTGCTAATGGTGGCATTGACTAGTTCAAACCACTTCACAGTACTTTCAGGTACTAAATCATGTATAAGTCAAAGACCTCTCCCCTGCCCCCAAAAAACAACCCTGACCTGCAGATTGAGAAAAACCATTATTTTTTTAAAAAAATACATTTCTTCAGCAGCAAAATTTTTTGATAAATTAAAGTTCA